TCTGAGCTGTCAGCACAGAACCCGACGCGGGGCTCGAACTCACGGACCGTGAGATCATGACCCAAGCCGAAGTCGGACGCTTGACCGACCAAGCCACCCAGGCACCCCTGACCCTTTGTATTTCTATGGTATCAGTTGTAATATCTCCTCTTTCATTTCTGACTTTATTTATTTGAGTCCTCTCCCTTTTTCTTGATAGTCTAGCTAAAAGACTTATGGGTTCTTAAACAGCTACCATTAAATGTAATTGTTTTATAGTGTGTTATGAATTTATTTCAGGGAATTGTCAGCCATGTCTTCTATTAGAGAAAAAAAACAACTTTCTAACATTTTAAACTTGTAAGAGTACTTAAATCTTCCAGATGAGAAAATATGCCATAGTGGCATTATTGTCCCTTCCACATTCTGGTAGGTCTGATAAGAGAGGAGGCAACGTGTTAATGGAAAGATCAATGAACTAGCAGTCAGGAATTCTAGTTTCTCATTTGGACTGTGCCACTCACTCAAAGCCTCATTGTGGACAAGTTTCAACTTCTTTGGACTTAAGTTTCTTGAGCTGTAAAATGAGAGGATTGGGCAGTGTCTCAAAGGACACTTAACAGCCAAACTAATTTATGACACAGGGAATTTGGCCAAGCCTGGATCACACTTTTATTATAATAAAGAATGAATTCATGAAGCAGAAACATTCAATAAATGAGAAAAGAGAGCTTGCCATCTTTATTTGCAACCAGGGCAGATACAGTGTGTTTCCTGTCTTTTCCACAAGCAGCCATGGGAAGGGAAGGGTTGGGGGAGGACAGGAACAGGATGTCCTTCCCTGACATGTCACCAGGCAGCTTAAATCTTTACATTTTTTTTCATGGCCATCAGGTCTGATATCCCGGAAATCCATCCCACAAAATAAAAGAATTACAGATAACTCGTTATGGGGACAAGATAAGTGCTTCATTTCATTTTCATTTGTTAAATTTTTTTCAGGCGCCTTCCTTTCATTATTGTTGTAGTGTGACTTTATAGTGACATATTTTCAGGGACTTCGGAGGATAAGATTTGGAGAAACACTTGAGAGGACTTTGGTGTGCTTTTGAAGGCTAATACTGCTGCGGGTTTGCAGGTGAACCGTGGAAGAAACTGGGACCGGGACAAGTGAAAAGGGAGAAGTGCCTGGATACCTAAGACAGTTCTAGGGAAGACAAAGGGACTTTGTTCCTTCAGGTGGTGTTGATTTAAGGCACTGTGAGAATTGATTATATACTTGCCAATCTCCCTTTGATGACAGGAACTGTGTCATTTATGTCCCCAGCGACAGAAATAACTGACAATCAAATATTTGTTGAGTTGAACTGAGTAAAAACTGCGCGGGAAAAGGTAGAAAAAAAGGACACCGAAATAACACCCTTGGATATCTGAAACGTCTACAGGACTTACTACTGCAAGATTTACTGCAGGAGAAAGGGACTTCAGCGGAGCAGTGTTTCAGATGAAGTGCCAACAATCCAGAATGTAGAAGCTGAAAAGGGCTGGTCCAGGAGAGAGAGGTGATCAGAGTCCCTTATAAAGTGAAAACTGATCAGGCAACAGGTTTGAATCCGTAAGGGAGAAAAAAAAAAAAAAAAAAGGGAGGCGCGATAGCGATAAGCAGATTGCCAGAACTGGAGGAGTGTCTGGGGCCAGAGAAACACTTAAGTTGGAGCCAAAGGGAGAGGGTTAGATCCACATGCCTGGAGCTAGGAGCCGGACTCGCCTCGCATGTGTTGTTTCTAGCAACCACCAGGAAGCCCTGAAAGATGTGCTGCTCGGACTGGTATCTTGGCGCGATAACTTCCGTGTGTGTGTATGTGTGTAGAAAAGGCTGCAACAGGGCGCGCCGCCCGAGTAACTTCCGCGTGCGGGGGGCACTGGCGCGCAGCCGCTCGCGCCGACACGCGGTGAGAACCCGCGCTCCCCTAGTCGGCTTCCACTCGCCGCGGCAGGGGCGACAGAGAGAGGTGGGCGTTGAACTGACGGCTGCCGCGCCGAGTCTCTCAGCTCCCACAGGTCGCCGCGACCGCGCTTGCCGCCGCCCCGCCCGCGACTTACAACTCCAGCAAGCCCTGGCAGCGCGCCCGCCGCAGTTGACCCATTCCCGGCCGTCCTAGGCTCGCTGGCCCTGGCGCCCAGGCGGTGCTCCTGCTGACTGGGGGGTGTGGGCGGGAGCGCGGAGGCAGGAGGGAGGCGCTGCTGTGCACGCCGCGTGCCTCCGCTGCTGGATCCTGGCAAACTCAGGTTCTGCGGCCGCCAATGGACGAGCAGGCGGGTCCCGGCGTCTTCTTCAGCAACAACCACCGGGCCGCAGGCGGTGCCAAAGGGCTGGGCCATTGGCAGGCTGCCGCGGCCGGCGATGGGGCATGGTGGCGCGAGGCGGCCGAGTGCACCATACCAGCCCCTCCGGGGATCACTGCACTGCACGCAGCACGAGTGGGCCCGCTTCGAGGTGGAGAAGGTCCGCAGGGGAGTGGCAGGAGACTGCAGGGTAAAGACCCTCCCATTTTTCGCTCTTCATCCGCCTCTTCGCTCCTTCCGCCCGCCCTTCCCCCATGGGCCCCCCTCGTCCCCTCCCCCTTTGCTCCCGCCCATCCCACTCAGAAACCGCATCTCTTTCCCCCCTTCACCTTTGCCTTTCCCTGACCCCGCTGCCTTGACCTAGGTTCCCACTCCAGCCCCTGATGCGTTGTTTACCCTCCCCGTTCCTTTTCGTCTGCTCCTTCACACTCTTAACTCAGTCTCATTTCAACTCTCTTGCCGTCCCACATTTTAGGTCGTCCCTTTCAGTTAACTAATTGGGCTGACAGTAGTTTTGAGAGACGTCTAGCAAATCATCCTCTGCCCTAGTGAGTCCCATCCTAGGTCTAGAGATGTTCCCTGCGAAAGGTATTGGTAGTTGGCTCCTGTCTCTCTGAAAGGGAGGTGACCAAAGCAGACAACCGAAGTTGTGTGCGTGGGGCCTTGACTTTAGGCAAGAAGCTGATGTTGGGCTAAAGTATTATGAGGGATATCAGCTCCTTTTTGATGTATGTAAACGTTTCTTCTCTTTTCCTCTTCCTCCACCTCCCCCCCCCCCCCCCCCCCCACCCCCCACCTCCGCGTTTCTTTTAGGTATTTCAGATCATGAAGAACCTAGATGATCACCGTCAGGTGATGGTTCGGAGATGGTTTCCTATTCTCAGAATCTGAAACTTCCCAAGGGTTAATTTTATGCCCAGTGTTTTGTGAGATTGCCTTGTACTTTGAAAGGAACTAAAAGGGACTTTAAAGTTGGTTACATTTCCTTGCATAATCTGCAAGATAAAGCATATCCAGGAAGGAGCTGTTGTGGGCTCTTAGAAGAAAGTGAGGCTGATACTTTACAGGCCATTCTGAATTGCTAAGTGTGTTTCCGAAGCTGATCTTAAAACTTCCAAGGCACACACCAATTTCACAAGGAACTCGAAGAACTGAGTGGCTGTGCCTTGCTGTTTTACTGGCTAATCTTGTACACTTCTGAAATCTGAGTATAGTTTTGGTTGGTGAAACACTTGAAGTTAAAATGCTACCCAGCGTGTCACTTTTTTTGGTAACGGGTATTTTCTTTGGCACTTAAAAAAAGAAAAGAAGGAATCTGTTAAATAGAAAATCATGTGCTGGAACAGGGTGCTTTGGCCTAGTGGAAGTGGCTATGGAAAGAGGGAGTAGACAGCGTTTTGGTACCAGCTGTGCTTACTGCTGGCTGTGACCTTGAGGAAATCCTTTAACCTCTGTGAACTTCAGGTTCATCATTTATTTATTCAGTACTTTATTGAGTGCCAGCTGTGTGCCTCGAGGGCCTGGGATGAACACAACTGACAGAGCTTCGGCCCTCATAGAGCTTACGTTTTAGTCGGCAGGCAAAGAAGCAGCAAATGTAAGTACATAATATACCGAACCATAATGGCACCTTGGATGAGGAAAATAAATCAGGTACAGAAATAGAATGTGATAGGGACAGCTATTTTATTTGTTTATTTTTTTTTTATTAAGGTTGTTTACTTATTTTGAGAGAGCGAGTGAGCAGGGGAGGGGCAGAGAGAGAGAATCCCATCAGCGCGGAGCCCGATCTGGGGTTCGAACTCACAAACTGTGAGATCGTGAGAATCCCAAGTCAGCACTGAGCCCCATCTGGGGTTCGAACTCACAGACTGTGAGATCATGACCTGAGCTGAAGCCAAGAGTCAGAAGCTTAACTGATTGAGCACCCAGGCTCCCCGCGGCTTTTTTATTTTAGATGGGGTGGGTGAGGAAGGCCTCTGGGAGGAGTTGAGTGAAGCGAGGCAGTGACCCATAGTTTCTAAAATTTCTTCTCATTCTTTATTTCCACAGTTCTATGTTTGTATTCTTTGGCAACTTTTTTTTATGTCTGCCGTTATGTACTTTAGTATCTAGTCTATTGGTATTTGTAACTTTTCTCAAAATGAATCTGACCATGTCTGTATAGTGATAAGCAGACTTGAATGCTTCATTTAAATTTATTAGTAATTCACTTTATTAAACAGTGCATTCCATAAATGAAATTGTGGATTTCAGACTTCAAGGAAGTGTTAAAGGCAGGCTTTAGCGTTAACGTTGTTCGGGTGTAGAGAATGATTTTTTTATGTGGCTGCTTAAATTTTAATTTCCAGTTTAGGGAAGGTGAGTCACACTAATTTGGTCAAAAACAAACAAGATAATAACTCTTCCCTTTTTACTTGTGGAGGTTCGGGAGTTTGCAGCTCATCTTACCCTTGTCCTATCTCCCAGTTCTCCCCTTCCACCCCTCCATTTCAACTTTTCAATTTACCTATAATTGTAGTCACTCTTCAGTTTTACACACACACGTGCACACATGCTATTTCTGGGATTTTTAATGGCAAATGTTAAAGCTCAGGTAGGTTTCCAATTGGTGCTCCTCACACTGAAAGCACTACATTTTTACAGTATCTTTTCGTTTGTGCTTACACTAAATTAAGCATCCAGGGAGGAACTTTAAAAATGTGTCATATTTTCCAAACAGAACAAATAACATACTTTTTGGGAAGAGAGTTTGTGGGAATCTCACAACTGAAAACATATTTTTAAAGTAATTTCTTTTTATCAACATCATTAAATGTGAACATACCCCTTCATTTTTCTTTTGCCATTTAAATTTTTCTAGAAGAAATCGGAAGTCAGAGAATGAGTGGTGATGAAATTTGGATTAATTGATGTCCTCTCTTTGGTTTTTAAATTTCTTCTCAAGTCATTAACACCGAAGTCAACAAAAATACCTTTAAGATTAAGTCTAATTTGTCCCTTCAGGAACCTGTTAGTCTTGCTCTTTCAGATTGTCAGGACAGAGTTGTGCAAGGCAATCCAAGCTGTCACCTACCTGGTCTGCCTTTACCACTTCCTCCCTTCTTCAGGTCTTGGGAGGAAGAAACCAGTTATACTGTGCTGTAAACTTGTCATTTTCCCCTCCTTGCCCATCTCAGTTAATGTAGAATTCTCTCTCTCTTTTTAAAAAATTTTTTTTAATGTTTATTTATTTTTGAGAGAGAGAGACAGAACGGGAGCAGGGGAGAGGCAGAGAGAGAGGGAGACACAGAATCTGAAGTAGGCTCCCCAGGCTCTGTCAGCACAGTGTCCGACGTGAGGCTCGAACCCACGGACCATGAGATCATGACCTGAGCCGAAGTCAGATGCTCAACCAACGGAGCCACCCAGGTATCCCTAGAATTCTCTTTATTTTTGATAATCCCCCTCCTGCCTCAGTACCACCATTCAGATGAGAATAGGCAGTTCATGGGAAAAGAATGGTTAGGGTTATTACTGAGCTTTATATTTGTGAAAGGAATTGGAGTTGGAATACTAATCATAACAATCGAGGGAAATTTCTTTATGTGAGACATTGAGCTAGCTGACCTTCAAGAAGTATGCAGTCTAGTTGGAGTGATAGACAAGCAAGATGTAGAAAAATCAGAGTGTTTATCATTGTGGGGGCTTAGATTTTCTTAGAATAGCACAAAAGAGAGCTAGCAGTGAATGGGGAGAATAGCAAGAAGAAAGAACTTAATGAAGTAATGAGAACCTATTTGAAAATTACTAACTTAATAGAAAGCAGGCATGTAAATACAAAACAAAAACTATTGGCCCTAGATTTTGGGGGGTGTGTGTAGTAGGGGAGGCTCTGTTATTTACCTGGAAATGTTAGAATTGTATGAAAAAGGTGATATGATTGAGTGGCTTAGGGCATGTGGCATAGAGACTGGAGTATTTATTAATCTGGATTTTGGCATTATTGATTCATATTTTCAGTCAACAAATGTTATTCACCCATTTTCTGCCAGCTCCTGTTCTAGGCACTGGAGAAACAAGATGGTTAAAATAGATCCTACAGGCAGACAATAATGAATACTTACATACATAAAATGTTAGGTGGTAGTAAGCACCACAGTCATGTGGTTGGTATAAGGGGGATATGGAGTGCTTGGTGGGGTGGAGTGGGGAAGAAAGGCTTACCTGATGAGATGCCATTTGAGCAAGACCTGAAAAGGTGAAATTAAGGAGGGGGTGTTCTGGGAGGGCAGAGAGAACAGTAGGGGGGAAAGGAGCATGCTTGGAATGTTTGAGGAATAATGAGGCACATGTGGCTAGAGTAGAGGAGAAGAATGGAAGAAATGCCATACTGGGTCTTGCCCATTGTAAGGATTTTAGATTGTACCTCAGCCAGATGGGTGACAGTTGAAATGTTTTGAGTAAAGGAACAGCATCGCAAGGGTTTAGAATGCACTTGGAGGGAAGACAATGGTAAGAGAGTCATGGAGTCTAGTTAATAATCCAGGCTGGAGATGAACTAAGCTGGTAGTGATGAGATACGTGAATGTCTATTTTGATACGTATTCAAAATCTAATGGATTCTGAATGCATTTTTGAAGGTAGAACCAACAAGATGTGCTGAAGGATAGGATGTGACGTTTGAGGAAAAAGGAGTCAAGTATGACTCAAAATTATTTTTTGTCACTTTAGTTCAGTATTTCTTAGCTTTAGCTCAACCTTAGAATAATCTGGGGGAACTTTTAAAAATCTTCATTTCCTGTGCTCTACCCCAGACCAGTTTAATCAGAATTTTAGGATTTAGTGCCCCTGGTATTAGTGTTTTTTTGAGCTCCCTCAAGGCAGCACGGATTGAGAACCACTGCTTTAGTTGTTTGTTTCTGATTTTACATGTATTGTTTGGACACATCTGTTAGTATTCCAGATATGGATGGCTTTTTATAGAATCGGGATATAATTTTTGTTACGTTTCTATTATTCTTTCTGATGATAGCTAGCATTTTATTTTTAGCCAGTAGAATATTATAATTTGATTCACCTCCCTCTGACTGAGAGAGATAATGATAAGAGTAATTTCTGAGCTGGAATGAACTTTGGAAAAAATCAGCTGCAACCTTCTTCCGCAGGTAAAGTGAGGCCCACAGAGAGGTTGAATGACCGAGAATGAAA